AACAGCTGCTGAAGAGAATGCTTAACCACAAGGGCAGTGCAGCTGGGGGGACACTGGTGGGGATGGCATTAGGCGGGGGACACTGGTGGGGATGGTATTAGGCGGGGGACACTGGTGGGGATGGCATTAGGCGGGGGACACTGGTGGGGATGGCATTAGGTGGGGGACACTTGTGGGGATGGCATTAGGTGGGGGACACTGGTGGGGATGGTATTAGGTGGGGGACACTGGTGGGGATGGCATTAGTGGGGGACACTGGTGGGGATGGTATTAGGTGGGGGACACTGGTGGGGATGGCATTAGGTGAGGGACACTGGTGGGGATGGCATTAGGTTGGGCACAATAGTAATTGTGGTTTTTACCGTTACTTTCAATGCACGGCTGCGCCTGTAAATCCCAACTACTCGGAAGGCTGAGGCTTGAACCCGGGAGGTGGCTGCAGTGAGCTGAGATCATGCCACTGAACTCCAGCCTGAGCGAGAGTGACGCCCTGTCTCAAAAAAACCACCACTAAAAAAAAAAAAAAAAAACCACCACCACCAAACAGAAAAGCCTAGACAGTTCATGTTCACGTGCCAATGCTACTGCACTGAGGCTTTTTCCCACAACCCCATCGTTTTTGGTGTAGTATTTTTTAAACTGTGATATAAATAACACATGCAGGCGACGATGTGAAGACGGAACGCTTGTGCCTATTGGTGGGGATATAAATGACCAAACCCACCATGGAAAATGGTTTGGAGGTTCCTCACAAAACCAAACATTGAGCTTACCGTGAGATCCAGCACTCCCACTGCTGGGAATATACCCCAAAGAAAGAAATTTGGCCTGGCGTGGTGGCTCACAACTTCAATCACAGCACTTTGGGAGGCTGAGGCAGGAGAATCAGGAGAATCGCTTGAACCCATGAGGCGGAGGTTGCCATAGCGGGAGGAAGCTAAGGCCAAGAGTTCCAGACCAGCCTGGGGCACGTAGTGACACCTCCATCTCTACAAATAATTTTTAAAAATTAGTGGGGTATGGGCCAGGTGCGGTGGCTCACGCCTATAATTCCAGCACTTTGGGAGGCCGAGGCAGAAGACCACCTGAGGTCAGGAGTTTGAGACTAGCCTGGCGAACATGGTGAAACCCCATCTCTATTAAAAATACAAAAATTAGCTTGGCATAGCGGTGGGCACCTGTAATCCCGGCTACTTGGGAGGCTGAGGCTGGAGGATCGCTTGAGCCCAGGAGTTCGGGGCTGTAGTGCACTATGCAGATCGGGGGCCCGCACTAAACTCAGTATCAATATGGTGACCTCCCGGGAGCGGGGGACCACTAGGTTGCCTAAGGAGGGGTGAACCGGCCCAGGTCGGAAACGGAGCAGGTCAAAGCTCCCGTGCTGATCAGTAGTGGGACTGCGCCTGTGAATAGCCACTGCACTGCAGCCTGGGCAACATAGCAAGACCCCATCTCAAAAAAAAAAAAAAAAAAAAAAATTTAGTGGGGTATTAGTACCAGCTACTCAGGAGGGAGGCTGAGGTGGGAGGAGGCTGGGGAGGTTCAGGCTGCAGTGAGCTGACTGTGCCACTGCATTCCTGTCTGGGTGGCAGAGGGAAATCCTGTCTCCAAAACATCTAAGTCCTAGCATCTGCTCTTGGGTAGGAAGCAGTTGAAGCAGCAGTTACTCCAGGCCCCCACCTGAATAGCACCTGGCCACCTTACTCAACTGTAGCCGTGGTCCCAGGTCCCCCATCACTGGACAATGCTTCCATCTGTAGGCAGGCGAGCTCTGCCTTGGCCAGGCCCTTCCAAAGCCAGCCCGGTTTCTGAAGCATGCATTCATGCCCTACACCTTCCCTCCCAGCTCCTTTGTCTGCGGAAGTCCGTTTTAACACTACCCAGCAGCAAAGTAAAGCGGCACCTCCCCAAAATCAATCTGCTTCTCAGGAGGCAGCAGCCCTCCCCGCCATGACAGGTACCCAGAATTTCCTCTGCAGACAGGCAGTATGAAAGCAGCCACGGTTGTGTAAATACTTGATTTCTGGCTGGGCGCGGTGGCTCACGCCTGTAATCCTACCACTTTGGGAGGCCGAGGTGGGTGGATCACCTGAGTTCAGGAGTTCAAGACCCGCCTGGCCATGATGGTGAAACCCCATCTTTTAAAAAAAAAAACCAAAAACAAACAAACAAACAAAAAAACAAACTTGACTTCTTCCATCTTGAGAAAAAAAAAAAAAAAACTTATGTTCCTTTACCTAACAGCTAGGTAAAGGAACAGCTAGACTTTCAAGATTTCCACCTGGTTGGGAAAATAATGCTTTTAGCAAGCGAGGGGGAAACTGGTATTCTATTTCCAATCATCACCAGCTTTTCAAACCTCACTCAAAAAAAAACACAAAAAACAACTCACTCATCCCGGAGTTAAAATTAAAGTAGACTCTTCCATTTCAATGGTGCTTCCCAAATTTAAAATCGGTCCATTTCATGAGCAGCTGAAAAGAACTCAAAAATAAAGGCAGGCATTAAATATTACGTAAGGTTTTCTTTTATTTAAAAGATCATTCACAAAATACCATATCCATAGATTCACTTTCTGTCATATAGCTGAAGTGTTAAGTGTTTGGAATTCCATTCTCACACTGCAAAGTCAACTGGGTTGCCCAGAAGTTTAGATGCATTTGTTTTGTTCTTTGTCTTATCCACATTGAAGATGTAAGTAGGTCATCTGAAAGCATCGGGTTTGATTACACCACATAATGCATGTCTTTCTGAAGTTTAGTATTGGTGTTACACAAATGGTTCTTATCTTGGAAGCAGAGAAGCCGACAGGTGGAGGGAAGGAGAGAGAGAGTTCTGTGGATTGCTGAGGCCTTGTCACAAAGACACAGTGGGAGAAGCCAAGGATGGCAGCTGGTGACCAACTACTAAGCACACGACGCTGGGCGCCCCGGCCACCCTGGCCCCGCCAGCACCCGGCGAGGGTCTCTTTCCTAGGCGCCTGCTGCTGGCCGCCCCTGAACTGCTCCCCACAGGACAGACTGGGACGTGGGTACTGAAGGGTATTTCATCTGTTCACACGGAGGTGTTAAGCTCAGAAGCCTACGCCCTAGCACTAACCCCCAGGTAAGTGCTAAATCCTGCACATGGGAACAACCCAGTGTGTCCCAGACCTAGACAGCTGCAGTCCTCTACGGCTAGCTGAAGGGTCCTGACAGCTCTGCACAGTACAGCTCATTTCAACAAGAGATGAGTGAAGTGCCAGATTCTAGACCATTTTGGCTCTGAACTGAAGGGGAGGTGGGAAGCACAGTATCTCATCATGTCGCCTAGACCAGAACAGACCAACACAAACATGCAGCCAACAGGAATGGGGGGAAACGCCGCGACCGCGCCAGCACCAGCCCTCCACCCCCAAAGTGCCTCGGCCCAGCAGAAAAGAAACCAGCTCGCCGTTCACTGCACCCAGCCGGAGGGGAGCCCCGACCACGCCTGGTGAGAGGAGTTTACCAGCTGGGACTCGGCCTTGAAAGAGTGGCAACAAACGCGCGTGAACGCCTGCGAGCACTCGCCGTCTTCTCCGTGGACTCCCTACTGCTGTTCCAGGCCCCCACTCTCAGTTCTCACTGTTTCTCTCACGAGCCTATCTGCTTGGACAGTCCCCTGGGGAGGGGTCAGGGAGCCAGGACTCCCTTCCCAACAGGAATGGAAAGGACCCTGCAGAGAGTTTTATCCTAGTGTGAAAACAAGGTGCCTGCGATTCTGTCTGTCACAGCTGAATACCAACAAGGAGCAGTTCCATCTGTCAGTGACTTCTGGTTTTTGTGGAAGCCCCAGCAATACAGAACTCCACATGCAGGTCAGAAGAGAAGCACTGAGGAAATGAAAGGAGACGCCTGGAGTTGGGCCAGGCGCTAAAGTAAAAGAGAAAGCAAAGGAGAAAAATGACGCAGCACCGCAGCCCAAACGACTCCCCACGGCGGCCACCACGGCAGCCACCTCCGCTCCTCCGCGGAACCCCATGTGCTGCTGGGAAAACAAGGAGCAGGAGGAAAAGGACAGAAGGGAAATGGGGAAGCAGCGGAAGAAAGAAAAAACTGCACAGACAGGCACTAGAGAGATACAGCAAAGCCCAGAATGTACTAAAAACCACTTGTTAACAGCCGACATGCACTCACAAGCTGTTTCCGCTGTGAGGGGGCCAATGGCAGGCGCGGGAGTGGGGCGGCAGGACGCCCGGGGACTCACCAGGCCGTGGTCCTGCTCTCACCCCCCACGCCCCATTCCCTCCCAACCACAGGCTCATTCTTGCTCCTTCTGAACAACTTCCTCTCTGGGCCTGGCACCCCCGAAGATAGCAGAGTTGGGATTGGCTACTTGATTGAGGGGCGTCGCGACTGTTCGAGGTTTAAGCTGGAGTCGTGGTCTCTGTGCTCTTTCCTCTGGGGGAGAAAAAGCAGTTTGTCAGAGAGGATCCCATTCCACATCCAGGTCAAACGACCACGCTGATGCTGTCAGCAACCCAGCCCACGTTCTAGACTTCACCTGGCCTGCCACCCCCTCAGCAGATGCTCTAATGACCAAGATGAACCTGCTACTGCGGAGAACGTGACGATCTATGCTGACAACTTGTGTGCCGCAGGAATGCAAGTCCCCGTGGGGTGTGAACGGGCCACGATCATCCCGTCAGGAAAAGACGCCCTCCGCCAACACTCGAGCCCGTACCTTCTGTCGGTTCTCTGAAATCCATGTTGGATCCGCGGAGGGGAGGGCCATCTCTGAAGCGGCTGCCCATTGGGGGGCCTGTTCGCCGGTCACCTGGGCGACTACCTCCCCTGCTCCCTAAGAAGTCATCCCTGAAGCCTGGGGAAGGAGGAGGACATTGAATTACTTTTCAAATGATCACCTCCAAGCTGCTTATAGAATAATGTTCTGGGAGTTGTTTGAGGTTAATCTGTAAATTTTTTTTTTTTTTTTTGAGACGGAGTTTCGCTCTTGTTACCCAGGCTGGAGTACAATGGCGGGATCTCGGCTCACCACAACCTCCGCCTCCTGGGTTCAGGCAATTCTCCTGCCTCAGCCTCCTGAGTCGCTGGGATTACAGGCACGCGCCACCATGCCCAGCTGATTTTTTGTAGTTTTAGTAGAGACGGGGTTTCACCATGTTGACCAGGATGGTCTCGATCTCTTGACCTCATGCTCCACCCGCCTCGGCCTCCCACAGTGCGGGGATTACAGGCGTGAGCCACCGCGCCCGGCCGTCTGTAAATTCTTTAGCGTGTCCAGTATCTGAAGTCTCTCCAAAATCAAGTGCATTAAAAATGGGTCCAAATGCCAACGTGTGGAGTAATGACAGCACTAACAGACTTTCCAAAGAAAAAGGAATTAGCATCTTAGGAGAGAAAACAAATTAAGCAAAACAAGAGAGCCTCACAGCAGGCTGAATTCTATTTTCTAACATAAATCTACACAGCTAGTTTAAAAGATAAACCTGAAATTTAGAACTATTTATAACTTAGAACACCAAATCAGAAGAAAAAGCTATATGCCAGAATTCTCACTGGTGGGTAGAAGGAAAGAATATTTTCTCAAGGGTCTCAAGGGGCCTTTATTGTACTTAAGTGAAAGCAAGACATTAACTGTATAATCTACTGACGTTAAAATCTGGTAAAAAGAGTAGTTTACGCCTTACAACCCCAGCACTTTGGGATGCTGAGGTGGGAGGTTCATTTGAGCCCAGAAGTTCAAGACCAGACTGGGCAACACAGTGAGACTCAGTCTCTACGAAAAATATATTAAGTTAGCTGGGCATGGTAGTGGTGCCTGCCTGAGGGTTCCAGCTACTCAGGAGGCTGAGGCAGGAGAATCGACTGAACCCAGAAGGTGGAGGGTGCAGTGAGCTGAGATCGTGCCATTACACTCCAGCCTGGGTGATGAAGTGAGACTGTCTCAAGGGAAAAAAAAACATTGGCAAAAAGAAATTAAACCATAATCAAACAAATGAGCGGTGCGGTGGCTCAGGCCTGTAATCCCAGCACTTTGGGAGGCCGAGGCAGGTGGATCATGAGGTCAGGAGATCGAGATCATACTGGCCAACATGATGAAACTTCATCTTTACTAAAAATACAAAAATTAGCTGGGTGTGGTGGCGGGCACCTGTAATCCCAGCCTACTCAGGAGGCCGAGGGCACAAGAATTGCTTGAACCCAGGAGATGGAGGTTGCAGTGAGCCAAAATCATGCCACTGCACTCTAGCCTGGCGACAGAGCGAGACTCCATCTCAACAACAAAAAAAATGAGCTTGCTGCCGCTGGCTGCGCACTCAGGGGTGACCGCTGCTACTCTCTGCAAGGGCAGTGCCGTGGCTCTGAGCTTGCAGGGAGTTCGTCTTGGAGAAGAACCCTCAGAGCCTGCGGTATGCACTATACAGTCATCCTCATTATCCACAGATCCCCTATTTGCAAATCCATCCAGTCGCTAAAATTCATGTGTCATTCCCCAAGCTGCGTACTAGCAGCATTTCTGCAGTCAGGCTTGGACCTGCGCAGACGTGATGATCCCAGCTGAGGCTGAAAAAGACCGGGCTCTGCCTGTTTCCATTCCTAACTGTCAAGTCTTTTTATGGTGAGTGTCAGGTGTTCTGCCCTTCTGGGCTTCTGCTGGTGGCATCGCTGTCTAAAGTGGCCCCAGATGCAGTGGGAAGTGTTCTGCTGCTCCTAAGTGCGGGCTCGCTGTGAGGTGCCTTACAGACAAAACCGGCATGGGACGAGCTTTCCAACAGGCCGAAATGATGGCACCACCGACTAGCGGGCCCTGAGTTTAGTGTGAACACTACGCATTAAGTGGATCAACAAACATTAACTGAGACGTATTTAGAACGAAGGTCACATAAAACAATGTTAGGTGCGATCAGCTGATGAAACGCTGTGATCCGAGGCTCACAGGAGCAGCTCCACACTGGCTCATCCAGTGCTCCAGCCCCTCCACAGCCACCGCAGATGACCAGCGCCGACTGGGTAACTCGTGGGGAGGGCCAATTTCTATTATTTAAAGGTGGCAAGGGTTTTGGAAACCAGTCAAGTGATCTCACACCTGGTTCAGAGACTTGTGTTAAATCACACCAATTTCAACAAAACAAGTAATGAAAACAAGTCTCGACTGATTGAGGCCAACAGGAGCACTGCTTTAGGGGAACATACTGGGAGGCACATAGTCAAGAAGAAGGTCTTTACAAAGTCTTTTAGCCACCACATCACACAGTTCATTGAACAAGCCTAATTAGCATTCAAACGCTGAACCTGACGTTCCCCCAAACTCAACTGTGAAGTGTACCTTTCCTTTCCATGTAAGTACAAAGTAAATTTACACCTTCTATACAAGATTAAATCATTTCCGCCACCAAGGTCTGGCATGAGACATATGTGCTCACACCCACCCTAGTGAAGCAGGGAAACACAAGTGCCACTTGTGTGCTCAGGTGCCCGATGGGGCACGACAGAGCCCAGCAGAGAAAAAACTATCAGTGTGCATTAAAACCAAGTGAGAGCCTCATTTCAAAACCTCCTAGGGAATAAGCAGTGGGAAAATTAGGAATGAAAAGTGAGGTCTGACATGAACAAGACTCTCACCAAATCTGCTGGTGGGTTTCTAGGAAGCAAACTATTCATGAGAATCTTCGGTTTTCTTTACAAAGCTTAGTTTAACACTGGCTATTTCCGATGGTGGAATAATGCCTTTGCTTGCTTTGTACTTTTCTGTTGCTCTATTTTGTTTTTTTACAATGAGCATGTATCATTAAAAAAACAGCACCATCCTATTAAAAAGTAAAAAAGCTCTATTCTTGCAAATAACGTGTAACGCCTGAAATCAGCCATTACTCCGTCAAGTGAGTCCACGTAGGTTTGAGATGTCGCCAGAACACTGCAGTTCCCACTGGAACTGGGGGCGGCAAGGCCGGGGCTGTGTTCACTGTGTCTCTGCTTGAGCGCCAGTGGCCAAGCTAGGCCACGGGTAGGAAGACATTCGTATCTGGGTGACCTCTACAGCACCTGTGAATACCAAAAGGCAGGTGAAAGGCTGTTCCCGAGCTGCCGGCCGGCTCTGAGACAGCTGCTCCAGGTTCAGTCAGAGACTAGCCTACACATAAAATCACAGACTGACTGGACCATACTGCACTTTTATGAATAAGCTCACTTCTGATTGGCTACAGGACTTTTACGAACTATATTAGTCAACAGATCATCAGTCATCTGTTTAGCCACAGCTGGGTTTTTAAAAAATCTCAGACTCACAAGACAGCACACACCAGCCCCTCCCGCACTTACCCATTACTGTACGCCAGTTTTGTTCTGATGGGAAGGGTGCAGAGCATGAGAGTATATCCCAAGTTTGTTGGGAAGAAAACAAATTTTTCTTTCCCTACCTTTCTGTATTACAACTGACGTTATCATTGTGTAAACATAAAACATTTTACACTTTTGTAATAAAAAACCAGAAAGTAGAGATGAAAAAAATGCTGCAAATCACCCTGCAGAGCAGAGGCCTGGTTCGGGGAGTGGTGCTTTGCGCTGTGACACCAGCTGGTCTGCCTGGGGTTGGCTAAGAAAGCTAATGACGACGTGGGGCATGTCCACTCTCAAGGGATCGGACCCCCAAGCCTCCAAGGAAAAAAAATAGGCCATCAGGACTACCTTTCACCACGTATGAGAGCCCAAACCTCTATCCCGTTTTCTGGAAGGAACAGTATACTCCTCTTGGTGCCATACACAAAACTACCAAGGAGATCCCCCGGCTAGAGTCTGAGAAAAACTGCTGAGCGAGACCAAGGGCCCAGGCCCGGCGCATCTAAGGAAACGCGGGCGATCACAGGTGACCACAAAGGAGCACAGGCCTCACTGGCCCAGTGTGGAGCCTTCAAGGCCTGCCCCCACAGACTCTAACAGAGGCTTACCTGCTTGCCTGGGCACCTTCCAGGAGAGGTTGTTTGTTAAAGGAACGAAAGTAGTAGTCCCACCAGGCGGGCTACTCACAAGAAACAGACAACAGCAGCAAGGCCCCTGGGAAAAGTTATGTGGTGACACTTTAAATACTGACACCGGAATTGAAGTCACCCCGGGAATCCCATTCACCTCTAGATTCTCGGGAGCTACCCATTCCTGAGGATACACAAAAAAGATAAAGTTGAGGAAGTGTCATTACCTTGCTGCACAAACATGGAAAAATTCATTTGGAAGACATATAATTCATGTGATGGGAGGGTCAATGAAATCATTCTAAGAGTTTTTGCTTCCAACAGAAAACCAAACCCAGGCCTGCAGAAGCATCAGCCATTCTTTCTCGGATTTTATGCAACCTTCTAAGAGCAAGAACCTATCACACCTATGAGGTAATCGAGTTCCACTGGGAACATTCAAGAGTCGCAACTGGGAGGCATACTGCAAGTTTGCATGAAGTTCAGCTTTAGAAGAACCAATCACCTCTGTCATCTGGTCCACCTTTTCTGAATCCAAAGCCACCTTTATCTTGTTTTCTGCCTTCTGCAATGTCCACACGAAGTGACCGATCGCCCAACAGCTAATAATAAGAGGAAAATAGTGTTAAATATTGGCAAAGAAAAGAATCTCAGCTGCTATGGCAGAGAAACTGAGGATACTTACTGCACCATCGTATGTCAAGGCTTCCTTAAGGGAATCCACTTCATCGAATTCTACATAGCAGAATCCTGGAAAAGACAAGACCACGATTTCCTGAAGTAATTCTGGATTAAAGACATGGGAGGATCCTGTTCGTAGGATTTCTCCACAGCACAACTACCACTCTGCTGTCTAGATGACGGTAGGCTAGGGGAGCCTGAAGCAGTACCTTTTACTTTCCGTAGACAGAGCTGACTGGCACTGCTCCCTCTCGATCATAATCAGTCAGAAAATGCTAACTGAACATGCACTGAAATAGCAGCTGCATTTCTAGAAAGCTTTCTTCTTGAATGTTTTAACCATAGTATTAAAACCTTCCTCAGGCCAATGGCAGCTGTTTTGACTTCTGAATGACTATTTAATCTAAGCGATTAGATTTCACAGATTTCAAATCTGATATCCTAAAATGCTTTGAAGAAGAGGCTTAAAGTGCCTGTTTAACTTACTACTCAGGTAGCTGACAGCAAATTTGCTTCACAAAGCTAAAAATATACCTTCGGCAACCAGGGTGTGCTTCTCTGAATGTTAATGAAAAGACACACGGCCTGGGTTCAAGTACGTGTTACTGACAACCCATGTCTCTGATGTCAGATTCTGACGCTGCCCCTTCCTTGCTGCCTGGGGTCGAAATCTAGGTGGACGGCTCCCCGGATGCTCACACTGCACCCTGCATCCCCTCTCCCCAGCATCCTTGCCCTGTGCATTAACTTCATCATCGCACTTCATCTTCGAAGCCACTAGACCGCAAGTGCTTTGAAGGCCTGAGTCCAAACTCGCCCTGTTCACCAACTGTGTGTAAAGCCAACTGCCTTGGCTGGACGGATGTCCCCCCAGCTCTCTTCCCTAAGTGGACTCAACTTTGGGAAACATGGAGAACACTACCCCAGCTTCACAGAGGCAGCAGGAGCCACATCATGAAGCTCACCCTCTAGAGCTGCGCAAGTGAAGATGTTCTATGAGCCAAACTCCAAAGCCTGCGGCGACTGACCCAGCCCAAAGGCTAGGCTCACCCACGCATTTCTACCCAAAGTTGAATTCCTAATGCCTGCTAGCAAGCAAACTTGTGGAGCTTATTTCCACAAGCGTAACTGACATATCTGCTTTCACTGTTTGATTACATACTCCGTGGGGCTTCAGATTCCGAAGTCAAAAAGATTAAGAATGCCACTGACACACAAAACCTCCCCGGTCAGCAAGGCCTCCTCTACTGCTGGGACAGCTCCGCACCACAAGTCACTCCGTACCTGTCACAGATGTGCTTCTTGGTGGAACATGTGGACCAAACATCCCGAGACCCAGCATCATGCACTTAAATACCAAGCACACTTCCTTCAGGAAGCCCTGCAGGCAGAATGCCGCTCGGATTCCTTCTTCCTCTTCCTCTCTTTCCCGCACCCTACAGACACACCACCTCTGAAATCTCAGCCAGCCCTCCCAAGCACACTCTCCAAATTTACGAACACATACTGACAACACTGGCTGCTTCTCTTCTGGATTTTGTAATAACTGGATGCCTGCACTACCAAGAAAAATCTACCCGGCATTCCAGGTGAAACATGCCTAAGAGTTCTCGGCTCTGTTCCCCTCTCTCCTGGGGAACTCCATTACTGGCAGACACAGGACTGCTGTGGAGGTCAGGCCCACGAACTTGGGTGAATGCCACATATTTCACAGACTACATTGTGTACAAAACATTTTCCCCTAAGTGAACTGAAGACCTGAGTTGAAGAGCTACATTTCTTTCAGCTACTCAGACCAGGCAAATCTTTAAAACACTTTCCTGATTAGAGGCTCTGGTTCACCGATCTGTTTTTATTTAGAACCCGTTCCCATCCTCCCCCACCCTTTACAGTTATATACAATAAGAACCCCCCAAACTCACCTTTAAATTTGTCTGTGTCTTTGTCTCTGACTAGCCGTACACTCCTTATGCTGAGATCCTTAAAGATCGCATCTATGTCACCCTGCACCGTGTTAAAAGGTAGATTTCCTACGTATGCTGTGTAGGGGGGCTCTGTAGGCAACTCCTTCTGGCTACGGGAACCATGGCCACCAGCACTGCCGCGGGACCTAGAAGGGGAGAGAGACAGGACTCAAGTGTGCCCAGAGTAAACAAGCAAACCAAGTCAAGTTGTCTTCCACTGAGCCACCTGGCCAGCGCCCCGGTGAGGCACTCTGCTCGAATGCACCATAAGACTGTTACGGCGAATGGCCTGAGAAAGAACAAAAAAAGAAAAAGAAAAAATCTGTAAGATGAACTATGTCTCTGTCACCCGGACTCGACTGCAGTGGCGTGATCTCAGCTCACTGCAACCTCTGTCTCCCAGATTCAAGAGATTCTCCTGCCTCAGCCTCCTGAGCAACTGAGATTACAGGCATGCTCCACCACGCCTGGCTACTTTTTGTATTTTACCATATTGGCCAGGCTGGTCTCGAACTCCTGACCTCAGGTGACCTGGCTGCCTTGGCCTCCCAAAGTGCTGGAGCGTGTGCCACCATGCCCAGCCTAAACATAACATACCTTCCTAAGACAACTGCTTCTCTCCTATTTACTCAGAATCTGCTATCTGCAGTATTTACACTCTAAAACCTAAGCAAATACCCTCCTTCACACACCGTGGTGCTAAGAAATACGGAAAGGGACTGTCTAGAAGTAATGCTGGATTCAGAGGAAGGATTACTGAAGCTGCTTAACACATTCACACATAATGAAATGATTTCCCCTTACTGCTCGACTATGGGCATAAGAATGTCCTAATAAGGCCGGGCATGGTGGCTCACTCCTGTAATCCCAACACTTTGGGAGGCAGAGGCTGGGGGATCACTTGATGTCAGAAGTTCGAAACCAGCCTGTCCAACATGGCGAAACCCCGTCTCTACTTAAAATACAAAATTAGCCAGGCATGGTGATGCATGCCTGTAATCCCAGCTACTCAAGAGGCTGAGACAGGAGAATCGCTTGAACCTGGGAGTCGGAGGTTGTAGTGAGCCAAGATCGTGCCACTGCATTCCAGCCTGGGCAACAAGAGCAAAAACTCCATCTCAAAAAACAAAAAACAGAATGTCCTAATACAAATTTTCAATGTTACACAGCAAATATTCATGTACGTAACACTCTCATGCAATACTTCTCGGGGTCCTGAAATACGTGGTGTACCTTACCAATCCATTCAAACCTCGATGTCACTTCCTCAGTTACATCAAGCGTTTACTTTGCATAGGTATCTGTTTAAATCCAGCCTGTCACTTACTAGCATTATGACCTTGAGAAGTTATTCAATTTCTCTAAGCTTTATTTTATTTGTAAAACTGAGTTAATCCTAACATAGTACTTTGGGAGGCCGAGGTGGGTGGATCACCTGAGGTCAGGAGTTTGAGATCAGCCTAACATGGAGAAACCCCATCTCTACTAAAAATACAAAATTAGCTGGGCGTAGTGGTGTGCACCTGTAATCTCATCTACTTGGGAGGCTGAGGCAGGAGAATTGCTTGACCCCAGGAGGCAGAAGTTGCAGTGAGCCAAGATCGCACCACGGCACTCCAGCCTGGGTAACAAGAGTGAAACTCCATCAAAAAAAAAAAAAAGAAGAAGAAGAAGAAGAAAGAAGAAAGAAAGAAAGAAATCAAAATACAGTATACATAGATTGTATCAAAATGACCCAGGAGAGACTTAAAGTCGTTAGGAGTGAAGTGCCGACAGCCAACGTTTGTTTTCACGCAGGTCACCATAAAGGGCATGTGTGCAGGCATACAGACAAGCAGGGCACAACAGTCACTTCTGCATCCACCAGCGTCATCCCACTCTACCATTATTTCAACCTTATTGTAGACTCGAAAATTTTCAAAATAAAAGGTTTGGAAAACTCAGGAGGAAAAAAAAAATTAAGGGAGTGATGTGTTTTTGAAACAGACATTTAACCCATTTCCTGTTTGCTCCAAAAATACTGTGCTGGCAGCCAGCTGTTTTTTCCTAAACGGGAAGTGCGTTTAAATAAATGAGATCCTTCACAACAATCAAAGACCTGCTCAACGTCACCCCCCTTGCAGGGGAAATACTAGTACCCATCTTAGAGAGCAACCTGGTCTTTCATCCATATACTGCTAGAAACATCATAATAGAAACTCCACTTCCTCCAGAAGGTACATTCCAAGTGTCTCAAATAGTGAACAAGTATTACTCACCAAAGCATTTTTATGAAGATGGGTTGACCAAGCTGTAATGATTCTTTAATGGTAAAAAAGTTTTAAGTTTCATAATTCAGAAATCTGATACTTTCCAATAGGAAGTTCCACGTTATGTTCTAACAGCACCAGAAAATAGGTTTATGAGAGAATTGCATTCTACTCGCCCACTCCTCCCACCTTTCCAGATCTAGTAAATGCAACTTATTTTGCATTTCAATAACCTTTGCCAATACTACTCTATCATTGCCATCTCCAAGACCATAAATCCTAAAATATTTTCAATAAGATACTATTTAGAACTGGATAATAAATACACGAGCTACAGGCTGGGCGCCATAGCTCACGCCTGTCATCCCAGCACTTTGGGAGGCTGAGATGGGTAGATCATCTGAGGTCAGGAATTTGAGACAAGCCTGGCCAAAATGGCAAAACCCTGTCTCTACCAAAAATACAAAAAACTATCTGGGTGTGGTGGTGCAAGCCTGTAATCCCAGCTACTCAGGACACTGATGCAGAATTGCTTGAACCTGGAAGGTGGAGGTTGCAGTTAGCCAAGGTTGCGCCTGCACTCCAGCCTGGCGACAGAGCAACACTCCGTCTCAAAATACAAACAGCAAAAGAAGAGATACAGTATAAGGCCGGGCCCCGGCGGCTCATTCTTGTAATCCCAACAGTTTGGGAGGCTGAGGCAGGAGGATCCCTTAAGGCCAGGAGTTTGAGACCAGCCTGGGCAACACAGTAAGACCCCATCTCCATAAAAAAATATAAAAAATTGGCCGGGCATGGTGGCTCATGCCTATAATCCCAGCACTTTTTGGCAGGCTGAGGCAGGTGGATCACAAGGTCAAGAGATCAAGACTATCCTGGCCAACATGGTGAACTGCCATCTCTATTAAAAACAGAAAAATTAGCTGGGCGTGGTGGCACGTACCTGTAGTCCTACCTACTGGGGAGGCTGAGGCAGAATAGCTTGAACCCAGGAGGTGGAGGTTGCAGTGAGCCGAGGTCATGTCACTGCACTCCAGCCTGGCAACAGAGAAAGACTCTGTCTCACAATAAATTAAAAAAATAAAAATACACGCACACACACAAACTCTCTCTCTAACTCTAACTTACTCTCTCTCTCTCAACTGTGTGTGGTGGTCCAGACTTATATTCCCAGCTACCTGGGAGGCTAAGGTGGGAAGATCACCTGAGCCCAGGAGGTTGATGCTGCTGTGAGCCTGGGTGACAGAGGGAGACTGTCTCCAAACTGAAGAAGAAAAAAAAAAAAGAAAAAAGGCCAGGCGCAGTGGCCCACGCCTCTAATCCCAGCACTTTGGGAGGTCGAGGTGGGTGGATCACTTGAGGCCAGAAGTTCAAGCCCAGCCTAGCCAACATGGTGAAACTCTGTCTCTACTAAAAACACAAAAATGAGCCAGGTGTGGTGGCATACACTTGTAATCCCAGCTACTCTGGAGGCTGAGGTGGGAGGATCGCTTGAACCTGGGAGGTGGCGGTTGCAGCAAGCCGAGATTGTGCCACTGCACTCCAGCCAGGCTATAGAGCAAGACTCCCGCTCAAAAGTGAGAGAGAGAGAAAAAAAAAAGATACAGAATAAACATGTGGAAAACCATAAAAATGGAGGGTGAATGTTAAAAAAAAAAAAAACAACTTTAAATTCATTACTCAACATTAAACATCTAGTGATGCTTAATGATGTTAAAAGATTCCCTTGTGCCGGGCGTGGTGGCTCATGCCTGTAGTCTCAGCACTTTGGGAGGCCAAGGCAGGTGGATCACCTGAGGTCAGGAGTTCAAGGCCAGCCTGGCCAACATGGAGAAACCCTATCTTAAAAAAAAAAGATTCCCTTGTGTGTAAGTAGCTCACAACCGTGTAGGGCATATATAACATGTATATATGCAGTATGTGTGTATCTATAAATGTGTAACATACATAAAAACTAAATTAACCAGGTATCATTTTTTTAAAAACTTAAGGATGAGGATGAAGAGAGATGATAAACTCTCGGGTGTTTGAAGGTGCAAGGGCTTGCTAAATGTGCTCAAGCTTACAGAGCAGAACAACTGTGGAACTGAGATCAGGCCAGACTTGACCCCTGACTGAGCACAGGAAGCCCAGCTGAATGCCAGAAGACGATGGGGCACTACTAAAAATGCACTAGGATGGGAGAAGTGGCTCTGGCTTTGGAGAAGATAGAAAAATCTGGTTTGGGGCAAACCATTTTGAAAAGTGAGCACATACTAAATGGCAGCACCTAACAGCTAACTGATGACATAATTCTGGAGCAAAGATACACCAAAGGCCACCAACTTGTTCAACTCACTCGTGCCTCACACCCCCACCAGTGGCTTAATACTCTAGACTTTTTTTTCTTTTTTTTTTTTTTTTGAGACGGAGTTTCGCTCTTGTTACCCAGGCTGGAGTGCAATGGCGCGATCTCGGCTCACCGCAACCTCCGCCTCCTGGGTTCAGGCAATTCTCCTGCCTCAGCCTCCTGAGTAGCTGGGATTACAGGCACGTGCCACCATGCCCAGCTAATTTTCTGTAGTTTTAGTAAAGACGGGGTTTCACCATGTTGACCAGGATGGTCTCGATCTCTTGACCTCGTGATCCACCCGCCTCGGCCTCCCAAAGTGCTGGGATTACAGGCTTGAGCCACCGCGCCCGGCCCTACTCTAGACTTTTCAATAATTAACTAAACAGTCCTGATATTCCCATGTCCTACCAGATGTAGTAGTCCCTTTCACAGGACTTAAGCACTTGTTACCTTGTCATCCCATGCAATGAAATCACTAGGGGGCAGCGCAGCAGGGCCATGTGACTTGACTCAAGCTAGCACTGATGAAGTGTCCACTGTGTGAGTCACTTGAGACACAAGGGTG